TGTAGTAAATACAAAATAAAATATGTATGTATAGATACAGGTAAAATTATATCCTGTGTTTAACAAAAATAGTACCTATAACGACTTTTTTTAAATGAATATTTTCTATCTTCGTCGTTAGTGGAATCATCTTCATATTCGAACTCCGGTTGGACTTGGTCGTTTTCATCAACGTTTTGAGTATCTGCAATAAACAATGGTTATGACACGGGGTTATGATACTTAAATTTTATTTTATTTATTTCATGATATTATTGAAGTATTGAAAAAAAGACATACCTGAAGCTCGAGAATCCCAAGAATATCAGGTGTAATGACGACATCCTCATAGGCTTAACATTTACACATAGTTCTCAGCGACTGCATGCACCACACTCTATTAATGATTTTAGCTACTTTGGTTCGTGCAAATAGGCAAATTATATTATTTCCGTGATTCTTCACTAAGTTACTTGAAAATGACAATAATTAACTGCGCTCGAGAATGTTCAGGTGTTGAACTTTGTGTCTTTTTCCCATTTCCTTACGTCACGCTCAAATTGTCAGATTATTGAAATGCATACTTTACTGCATGCAATTCACTTACCTTACTTTAACCTGACTCGCTCAAGTTTCACTAACGATCCATTTTTTTTACTAAATAATAAAATATAAATGTCAGAGAGCATTATTAAGCACTGATTGATCGAAAACAGTTGATTTTGAACCCAGGAACGAAATTCAGTTTTTTTTATATTCCTTTAGTATGACATCGTAATTTCGAAGCCTGTTCTTCTTCGTCAGATCCTTCTTCTTCTCACAATAAACAATTTTCCCCATCATTTCAATCCGCCAATAACCCCTTTAGATATCCTTTATGAAAAGTTCCCCAAAAGGGCAAATAATGTGAGGAAAGCCTTTTTAGCTAACACCTTTTGCATTTTTGGAACTCCATTACATGACGAATTATTCTTGCATTAAGTTATTACTTGTTTACATGGAGTTTGGAGAGAATGATTGTTTTTAGCCCACAAAATTGCAATACTATTTTCATGTATAAATATGTCGAGCTGTGATGAATGTTTGAAATAACACATCTAAGTTTATTTTTTTACTTCTGCACGCTGTCGTGCTAGTTCTTGTAAACTAAATCTTTTCCATATCCCACAAGCTGTGATTGTCCTTTATAATAAACTAGCGGCCGCCCGGGGCTTCGTCCACGTTGACTTATTTCTTTCATCGTCACTAAATTACATTATTTATTTGTGACACAGGCTAAATTACTTTATTATATTCAAATAAAGTTCACTCGTGCAAAGGCTGCCCTCCTAGCATAAGCACCGCATTATGATATGTAGCTTGTTTTTATCACGCTCAATTTTCAAATTACTAAAGATTTTGATAGTTAGACGCGATAAAAAACGTGATATTATCATGAGATATAATGTATATTGTGGTCCTCATGCTACAGGGACTGGGCGGCTCGCTTATAGCCAAAGAGCAATGCGGCCGACCGACGCGGCAGGAGGAGAGTAGGCATACAGCATCTCCTCTGTCGATTTTCCCCCGGTGTTGGGTTAGCTCAAAAACAAAACTAGTTGCGCGTCGGGTATTTCACTAGACTGAGGCAAGTCACGCGAGATTATGTTAGAGATCAAAAATGACAAAATGTTACGTAATTTGCTGTAAAACATATCTGGAATCATATTGATTGGTCTCGCTTCAGTCGAGAGAAGCGAGACCAATCATTTATCTATGTCTGCAATAGTGATGTAGCGAATGTAATTTTTTGAACATTCGCGAATGCGAATGCGGATGTCTGGTACCGACATTCGCGAATGCGAATATTTAGTTTTTTTTTAAATTGGCGCCAATTGTCTATGGCATGGTAGCAGTCTCGTTCGAATTGCCAAGTTGAAATGAACTCATCCGACTAAAGTGTCATACCGCTCGCACCGGTCTTTCCGTAAACTAAACAAGTGAATTTTGAGGTTAGTGATTGTGAGTGGTAATAGTGATTTATTAACATGAGTAAATCGAATTCTAGTGAAACATGGACTTATTTCACACTTTGCGATGCTGAACGAGCTAAATACAAACTGTGTAACAATGAATATTCAAGGAAAGGCAGAACTACAACTTCTTCAAATTGTTTTTTTCTAATATTCATATTCGCAAAACATTCGCAGAGATTTTGCGAATGCGAATATTCAAAAATATGCGAATATTCGCGAATGTGAATATTCGTTACATCACTAGTCTGTAATATTAAACTTACAAAAGGATTGTGTTAAATTTCACATACGTATAAGTAGAATTATTAACATACTATTTCTATTTAACCACTTTTAAGCGCAAAATTCATATTATTTTATTAAAATTGCAAATCATAAAAGGGGGCATAGAATAAATTAATATAATTGCTTCGCCACTCGATACACTCTAAGGTTTATCGCTGAGGTTTATTGGGACACCGTTTTATGTCAAATTTTTATTAACACACAGAGCGCGTAAAACCTGATTTTATTACGACAATAAGTACACCACTTGAGGTCGGAGTTAGAGGCGATAAAAGTGATTCAAATACTTCATGTTTTATGCTTGTCTGGGGGAGTGCGTATCCTCCACTTTAAAAAAATCCCAACCATATTTGGAGCGTTACTTATTTATATATTAAAGATATATTATACAAGTGGCCCGCCCTCGCTTCGCTTTGGTGTAAAGCTGTAGTGTAGATTTAAATGACTCCTTATATAAGTAATTATAAAAAAAATTAAAATGGTATATTTGCCTTTTCCAAACTTCTATTGACATCACGTCGCTCAATTGTTTTGCCTTCCCGGAATCTCTTCATTAACATTTGAAATTTATGGTATGGTATTAAAGTTTAAATTGACTTTTAAGTATTATTACGAATCGCTTGAATGAGAGTATAGAAAAGTGTTGCTATTGGACATTTTCAGGCAATCTTTTTAAATTTTTCTCTGCGTCAGAACCATCCTCGTCCTTCAAGGAATATTCTAAAAAAGAATTATCGATATCGGTTCAGCTGTTCTCGAGAGTTGCGCTTAGCAACACATTCATTTTTAAATTATATATGATCAGCAAACAGTGTTTGCTTAGGGCCGATTCACACTGAACTGGCAGTGGCCGGCAGCGACGCGGCGAGCACTTTCGCACTCAAAGCAGTAATAAATAATTTTAAACTTTATCTACATAACTAAAACACCTTTATTGCTTAAAAAGGTCAAAGAATCGCGTAGCTGCCGCGCAATCTACGGCTGCAGCAACCCCGCCTGCACGCGACACTGTAGGACCTTTTCAAACGATACAGTTAGAAAGTGCTCGGCAACTCGCTGCTGGCCGCTACCTTTCCTAAATCCCTTAGAGCGCCACTGCCACGTTACCACTGATACATCTTTAAAACCTTACAACATGACTAGTTCATGTTGCATGTTTTTAAGGAAATTAACTATAAAAATATTAAAAGAAATATTTGGCTGTTAGCATCTTATATAAAAAAATAAACTATCAGTTAAAGTAAACACAAGCACAATTACATTTCTTTTCATGAACCTACGATTTTGCTAAGCTTAAACTCGATTTATATTTCTTATGAGCATCTATTATTTGATTACTTAGACAAAAAATATTTAATATGGAATGCGACTAGCCGTTCGACCAAAATCGATTGTGTTTATTCAACTAATACCGGGTTCACACGAGTCGATTTCAATTGATCAACTTTAATCGTTCAATTGCTTTTCATCAGTTTAATCGTTTCAATGTGATTGAAACTCTGTTCAGATGGTTCAAATCTCGCCTCGTGTGAATCCGGTATAAGATTCGAGCAATATAATCTATATCACAGATAATTGACACAACTGAACAGAAAATGACAGCATGTCAGCACAAAAGTTATCATGATTTTAGCGATTTTAGCTTCATGTTTTAGTTAAGCTGCGATTTAATCTTAATAAAAACAGAAACTACTCATGATAATTTGGTATCAAACATGTAATTAAATATCAGTAAGTTATGATATTTATCAAGTAGTCATATGAACTTATACAATGATATTTTCTTTGGTTATGAAAACGTTCTGACGATATATATCGATATGATATGCGCATGCAAAACAAAAAAAACAACCAGGTTCAACAGCAAAACCTGAATACCCCTAGCATGGACCATTATCGAATTCGAATAGTTTGCAAACCGAAATGTCAATGTCAAATTTTGTATGGAAACTTGAACAACAGCGGCACAAAGTACGTAACGAGAACTAAAAATCAGTACATATTTGACAATGACATTTCGGACTCGCAAACGATACGAATTCGATATTGGTTCGTGCTAGGGGTACAAAAGTAAAAAAACAAGTATTGCTTATATTGCTTAGACATGCCGACTACATGCAAACAAAGATTTGCTTGCTCAATGCTTTGCTTGAGGTCTGCACACCTCATAATACTCATATTTGCTATCTGTACATTTTAACAGAGGAGCTCGATGGCTCAGGTGGTTAGCGCGTTCGGCTGCGATCGTTAAGTTAAGCAACTTTAGAGTAGTAGGTCATCGAATGGGTGACCAAAAATATCTTGGTTCTCCATGTTTCGGAGGGCACGTTAAGCCGTTGGTCCCGTCTGCATCTCGTCGCTAGAACCCATCAATCCGCACTGGGCCCGCGTGGTTAATCATACAAAGAGCCAGCGTTACATTAAATTGATTGCAGTATTTCAGACTGCCATTTCTTATTGTTCTAAATGATTTTTATACTTACGTAGGCAAATGGTCTACCAGCCCCCACCTGATTTTAATTGGTGATAAAGTCCAGACACGTAGCTGGTCCAGTAGTTATCTGCCATACCAACCATCCCCTTGCCAGTCTGCACAAGAAGTGAACACGTGTGCGGACAAAGAATTCCACTTGCGAATAATACGACAAAAAAATGAATCGCCTAATTTCTACGTTCGTGTGGGAATCGTTCCATAATGAAATGGTTTTGGTATTATTTCAGAGGATGCGGCGCCCCCGGCGTCACCGCTGGCTGACAGTGTCGGTGTTCTTCATAGCGTACTCCGTGCTGCAGGCTGTGTTCACGGCGTCGACAGCGTCGGAGCCTGCCGTTGACATCAATTTGCCAGAAGAAGTCAACTCGCCAGTCCCAGCAGACACTAAAGATGAAATCGAGAAAGGTAACTTAATGGCTTAAAACTAAAACGTCCACTTCAACCCATGGCCATCCAATGTTTAATGTAGGCAGCCTGCAGTACATGCCATCTAGCTCGGTCTTGTACTGTTCTTATCTTATCGTCTGTACATCGCATCAGTGATCAGCCTACGACCACGCCTGGGTCTCCTATCCTGCGATCTTTCCCCATCTACTATCCGTAACTATATCGGCCATCGTTTTTGCTACGTATGTGGCTATTCCATTTCCTTTTCGTTATAACATGGCTATGTCAGTCAGTTTAATTCTTTTCCGGATTTCAATATTTCTTGTCACGGATTAAAGTTGGGGCTTTCTATACGGGCGCCGCCGCACCGCCCGTGTGGCCACCGATACGGGGAAATCTTAGAGCCGCAACGCACGTGTGCTTATTAAAAAATATTTTAACTAGTTTAACATATGAGTCCGTTAAGACTAAAATTTAAAAAAAAAGTATTTTGGTACCAGTTTCATGTGTATCTTTATTATAAGCATAGGTCGATAAGGTGCCATTACATTTGTGATGAAATGTTTGTAATTTTTTTCATTCTAAGGTTATTAATCTATATTAGTTCATCTCAATAAAATCAGGTCCCTTTTGTTATGGCCAACTTTAGTCAAGATTAAATATAGGTATAAATAAGAATAAAGTCTATTTTTAATGAAAGGGTTATTTTGGATCGCTTTTATTATCTTTAAAATCATTTTCTTGAGATATTTTTAGTAAAAAACTTTATCGATCTCGGAAACTCCCTACCATAACTATGATAAATACAATTATGTGTGCTCACGTCTTTAATAAAATAAATACAATAAAAAACGTATTTTAATTTAATTTTAATGTCACCTCAAATAATGATCCAAGTAGGTAATATAATCATTTTAGAGAAGAAAAGAAAGAGAGAAAGAGATATTTTTTCTATCTAAAAAATATATATTTTTTTAAAAAATAATAATCAGATTAGAGAAGCCGCTATAATTTGTTGAAAAAAAAATTTGTTTAAATGGAAGAACTTCTCAATTAAAACATGTTTATTTCTTTAGATGCAACGAGAGAAAGAAACGGTGCAACTCCCACAGAACCTACAGAGAAAAGTCCAGACGAGGCAGTAGAAAGAACGACGGAGACGGAAGATATCGAAGAGGAGGAAGATGGGAAGAAGACTATGAAGGACGCCGGCTACAAAGAAGTAACTTATAGGAACATAGATATCTTCAGAAATTATTATGAAGTACTTATTTTTTGTTTGCTTGTTCCTTATTTTGCATATGGCATGCTACAATTTTGCATTCATTATAATCATCATCCTTGTAATGCCCCCATTCTCCCTCCAAGTCTTTCCACTTCACTAAAGAACCACCATAATCATAAATACTTTAGGCAGATTTGTTTTGTTTTAAAGCATTTTCTTAAATTTTTACGATTTTAATTTTTTTTCCTTAAAAAATATTTTATAATAATTCCATAGGTTTACTTAACGGTAACGGAGGCGTTAATTATTTCTTAATAAGTTTGACTTATGTAAGTGTTGCCACTTGTTCTGCTATAACAAAAGAATATGACAACGTGGACTTGATGAAGCATTAAATTTAGTTGGCGTCTCGTCCCTGAGTATAGCCGTGAGACTAACATAGTTCGTAAGGACTATTTGTTACTAATATCGCTAATTAATAGTTCACTCTTAACATATTCTTAAAAGTCAGCATGTCAACCGAATGGGCTTACTTAATTTAATACCTTGAAATAAGGTTAATTCTCTTTAACCTCGGAGTTCAAATTTCAAGAAACTATACAAAATGCTCCTTTATTTTTATTGTTTATCCGACTTTGCTTCCAGGCGATTCAATTAAAAATACTTAATTCCAATTTTCAAATAAATTACTAAGGTGAGTGTGTCTACCTTGGTTTTGGATTTCCAAAACAAACCCTGGAGCAAATTTTGTATGAAAGCAATGTATGCGATGCGATGATGATCACATCATCATCAGCCTATTAATGTCCTCGCTGCTGGGGCACAGGCCTTCCATATAGATGGAATACGGATAAAAGGCCATGACCCACAGCTTGGTTGGTTGGCTAACGACTGGAAATGCAGCCGCGACCAACGGCGTAAAAGCGAATCTTGAGATTCGATTCAATTTATTTTTATACATTTTTTTTACAAGTAATAAGGAAACATTTTTTTTACTTAATTATTAGCATATTTATCGAATAGTCATCGCTTTTGGCTGACTGGTTCCAAAGATAAATAATAAATACGAATTAAATTAATAATAACGATTCCGAAGCACGGAAGAGGTCGAGCTTAGTACATTGTTCACTGTGGAGAGAAACTGACTCGTTTACCAAATAGTTTGAGCATCTCTTATCTATTAGACAAGTCCGTCCGTCTGTGGTGCTGTTTCAGCGGCCAAACCGTAAGAGATAGATAAAGAGAATATTGAAGTTAAAAGTTAAGAATAGTCTGATAAGACTACAAACCGGATTTGAGTAACGTAGCACTTCCGGTTTTTGAGAAATCAGGTTTTGGTGAACATTTGGTTCACTGGTTTGCTAGTTAACCTTAATACACCCAAGTTGGGAATAACATTTTCTTTCGAGTGCATTATACTATACCTATGAGGAAATAAAACAAAATGAAAACTCAGGCAAATACAATACGCGCGCTTTTTACTTTTTAAATGTTTTTATAAATTAATTTATAGAAAAAGGTAATGGCTGGTATCATTTTCAGACTTTGTGATAAACCTTTTTGTTTTTTAGCATTTTATACAGATAGAGATAGATAGAACATTGGATTTCCAATCACTTTTCCCGACGCATTTTAGTACGTACAACAATAATTCAATTCAATTCAAATCAAATTATTTATTTCAGAACTAGGTTCCATAGTGTTAGTTACATTTGATTTACTTATAAATATGTTAGTATAATAAAGAATTATAAAGAATTACATAAAAATTACTTTTTAATATGGAGCTTCACCCAATGTCGTAGCAGAGGAGTGTCCCACCGGTCATTAAACACTCTCAGGAGGCTGTTGGTACTAGAGCGGAGCCTAGCGAGCATGGAAGCGGACCTCTTTCTAATAATAGCATAAAAGTCGTCCGTATGCGCCTCTGCAAACATTTTTGACGCGCTGCAACTCCGCGCCAGTCTCAGCAGTATCCTGAAGGCGTTGTTATATTGAATACGCAGGTCGCTGTATGCCCGCTGCGTATAGTTGGTCCAAAGACTGCAAGTATAGAATGATTGGCAGTAAGTCTTAAAAAGAGTGACCTTTACTGCATCCGTACACCGTGCAAATCTTCGGGCCAGCATATTACATCGCACAGCCAGCGACCTACGCTCTCTCTCTATGTCGATGCTATCCTTGAGATCATCAGTGACCCAATGACCCAAGTACTTAAACTTATTCACCCAGCTTAAAGAACTACCACAAAGTGACACTCCAGGGACATCCGAGTAATTAATGGAGTTCGATTTAAATATCATGAGCTCACTTTTTTTCACATTGTACTTGAGCCCATGAGCCACCGCATAGGACTCACAGATAGCTACAAGTCTTCTTAGACCACCAATCGATGGGCTCAGCAGCACCACATCGTCTGCATAGTTTATATTGTTCAAGCAAACTCCATCAATATAACAACCTGTGTGTGTACTGCTGAGCTCACCGATTAGGCGATTCATGTATAGGTTGAAAAGGCGAGGCGAGCTTAACCCCCCCTGCCTCACCCCGCATTCCATCTCATACACGTCGGATAGAATTCCTGACCATCTCACTCTATTTTTCTGATTACAATACCAGTAGTGGAACAAGGACGTGACTTCAGGTGGTAGTGTTGTCTCCTTTTTTAGCTTCTGCCAAAGGACCCCATAGGACACCATGTCAAACGCCTTTGACAGGTCCGGAAAACAGGCAAATACTGGCGTTTTTCTTTTTGTGTAATACTGAACAGTCTGCTTAAGGCACATGATGGCACTTTCCGTAGATAGTTCTGGTCTGAAGCCAAACTGGGCATCATGTAGTTCTATATGACTTGCAAGCTGTTTATCAAGCAGACTGTCCAGAACCTTAGCGACTATAGTAGCCAGGGAGATGGGTCTGTAGTTGGATACATCAGAGGCATCCCCCGTCTTATCTTTAACCACTGGTACTACAATTGTTTGCATGAGGTCCTCTGGCAAATAGCTATGATTTAGGCATAGATTAAATAACAGTGCAAGAACTCTCGGCAAATGCGGCCCTGCATGCTTCAGATGTTCGATGCTGAGGTCGTCATGGCCCGGCGACCTACCTTTGGACATGTTTTTAATTATAGAAGAAACTTCTTTCGCTGTGAAAAGCACAGTAGGCTCACCGTTCCCAGAAAGACTCCCAGCATCAAACACCTGCCGCTTATCAGTCTTTAAAGGAGACTCCACCGTGAAAGCATTCCTGAATAAGTTTGCAACATCCACTGGCACCGTCCGACCAGCCACACTCGCAGGGAGGCTCGACCTATCACACAATTTGTTAGTGGCCTTCCAAAATTTACCAAAATCCTTTTTTTTGTGACATTTCGCCAACATATCAAGTTTCATTTGTTCTTGATTTTTCTGAACATATTTTAATTTGGCTTTAAATATCCTCCTAGTTTCCTTCATTTTCTCATATACTTTAATGACGCACATAATGACGCACATTTTGCTTGATTTTTGAAGCATATTTCGAGCGGATATAGTATAAAATAATATTTCGGGCAACCATAAGGATGGTTATTTTTTTGTAAATTGGTTTTAAATATACTGTGATGTTATCTGTGGAGTATTTATAAATTTATTTATTTTCCTTAACGACTGTCCACAGGATAAAGCAATGGAAGAATTGAGGAAGAACGAGGCCATCGAAGCTAACAAACCTTTCCTGGCAACCGTCCACCCCCTCAGGGAAGACTGTACACCACCAGCCATCGAACAAGTAGGTTGAACATTAATCATGTGGTGAATTTATAATAACAGGTCTTTTCCTATGAAAACGCTGTTCTGCCGTACTGACAATTTCAAGTCCTTTTTTTCTTTTTTCGCTAAGAATTCTAAGTTCAAATTTACGTTTATTTTTAAAATCTTGAATTCTTTTTTGAAAATTAGTCATTTGTTTAATGGTAAGCGTTCTGTATTCAGCGCATTTGTACTTTTTTCCTCATCATGGATACGTAAAAAAATTGAGTGCTTATGGAGCATGAGTTCCGTCGTGGCAGCTAAGCGGCAGAATCGGCACGCAACATCAACGACGTATACGGCGCGAACACTACTAACCATCGTCATTAGTTTGCCTGCTTCCGTTCTGGAAGTTTATACCTAAGAATTGAACTCCGTGGTCAACCGAAAACTTTCATCACTGACGAATTAAAGGCGATTGTGGAAGCTGATGATTCTTAATTTACAGCTGAATTAGCAGCAGCTTTCGATTTTAGCATCAAAACAGTATTGGTCCATTTGCGTCAAATTGGCAAGGTAAAAAGCTTAACAAATGTGTGCCCTATGAATTGAATGATCGCCAGCGCGAAGTACGCGAGTCGACCCTTGAACTACTCTACAGACACACAAACGAGGGCATATAGAATCGCATTGTTGCTTGCTACGAAAACTTGATTCTGTTCGACAATCCCAAGCGCTCAGCAAGTTGGTTAGATCCTGGTTCAACACCTAAACATTGCCCCAAACCAAAACTGGCCCTTAAAAAATGATGGTCACTGTTTGGTGATCTACCGCTCGTGTCATTCATCACAGCTTCTTATCAAACGGGATAAGCATTACTGCAGATATGTACTGTAAAGAACTGAACACAATGATAGAGACACTCGCACATCTCCAGCTTTGTATAATCTTTTGATTCCGCTGCTCCTGAACGACAACGCGCGACCTCTTAATGCACAGCAGACGGTCTCCAAGTTACAAGAGCTAGGGTTAAGAGTTCTTCGCTATTCACCGTACTCACCAGACCTTTCCCTACATTCTACTTTTTCCAGAATTTGGATAACTTCTTAGCGATGAATTTACTTTGAAGAATTTATTACCACCCGTCTAGCAGACTTTTTCAAAAAGGGCATCAATAAGTTTCCACTACTTTGGGGATGACTACTGAGATTAATAAAAATAAAGAAATTAATAAAAAGGGCGTTCACTTATTTCATGAAAAACGGCAATTTCATAAGTGCAGCCCTAGTATAGTATATTAGAGTACATTAAGCTTCCCCCACCTCTCTCTAGGACGGGAATGATATGTGGTCAAGTTTTATATTGGCCCTCAAACCACGTGTATTTTCGACTACTTCGACTTCAAAAAGGAGCAGGTTCTGTATTCTACTATACGTTTTTCTTTAAAGCAGTGGTTCTTATCCGGTGGTCCACGAACCACTAGTGATACCTGAAAGCACCCGAGTGACAAAATATTATGTCACGAACAACGCTGATTTATTTACAAATCGTAAGCTGTGGTAAGTGGCAAGACGGAAATTTTGTAACTGTATAATACTTTAAGGAAAAAATCTGACATTGTAATTTTTCACTTCAATAACAAAAGCGATAAGTATTTGTGATGCTGTCTTAGAAACAATAACTAAAACACCATTCATACATGATTATTACTTTAACTTAGCAAAATCGACATCCAGGACGATTGTAGAAAAGAAAATAATTTGAAAGCCGGCCCTAAATTACCAGAGTAATTACAGAGAAACAAATAAACTAAAATTACATACAGTTGAATTGAGAACCTCTCCCTTTTTGAAGTCCGTTGAATAGCAAGAATACCGCCGTTGCAACAATTGATCCTCAAATCTATCTGTATTTCGCAGTTTCCGAGGCCGCTGATGGGGCAGACAGCGCGCAAGCACGGTGGCCTGATCATCCACGTGCTGGTAGCTGTGTTCACGTTCATCGGGCTGGCCATTGTCTGCGACGAGTACTTCGTGTCCAGCCTCGACAGAATCTGTGAAGGTACCGTTACCATACGCATTACCACAGAAGCGGAGCTCTGCAGCTTAACACCAGTACGGTACTTAAACCGGTCCTATTCAACTTCCTCTGAGACAAAAGATAAACAAATAAACCAATGTTTTTAAACTGTTTTTATCTAGTGTAGCGATGGTCTGCGTAACCAGACTGATTACAAAATTTCAGATTTTAACGTAATTTTTTTGCTTTATCACTACTCTTTAATTTAGTAGTATTATAATGCTTTCAAAGTTTGGGATTAAAGTCGAACCACGATAAGATTGCAGAGTCAATAATCTGGTCTCACAAGGAAAACTTTATCCGGCAGCCCTTTTAATAAATAAATGTCATGTCATGCAAGAATCTTCCGTTTGAAGATCATTTTTTGGCACTGCGGGACATTGGCGAAATTTCTGTGTAAAACGGAAAGAGCCTAGAGAATAAAAAACATTTTTTTTGAGTAAATATTGTTTTCTTTTTTATTTTACATACCTATTGGCACGCAAACTCACACGCATACAGACACACAGTAATTCAAGAGTTTCCTCGTTTCGTCTCCCAAAGTACTCAACAGATCATCATTTGATTAGGTGTGACCACGGAGGAAAAACAAAGGGTGTGACCATGGGACCATCTCGACAAAAAACTGATTTAAACACAAAACCTCGCCAAGCGCGAGTGTAGTATCGCTCTATTAGGGTTCCGTGTAGTGAAATGATCCTGTTATTGAAGCTACCTAATATCACTAAGTTATGAAATAGTTCGTTTCCGAACTTTAGCTATATCTACATCGCAGTTCGCAATATACCGTGAAAGGAAACATTATTTGTTTGTTTTTATCAGTACCTACAAAGAAAGAATCGGCGTTTCAGTATTTGTTGTTTAAATACAGATGACATACAATACAGATACTGTGGCATACGGGAAGACAGATGACAGAATGCCGGCAATAGGGCTTCGTTTTTACCCTTTGAATACGGAACCCTAAAACTGAATTATCGAAATCGGCCCATAAATGTGCGAACAACAATTTATATATAATTGAGAACCTCCTCCTTTTTTAAGACGGTTAATAATAAAGTATCAAGGAAAGTGAATTTAACTATAATCAGTTTTAATTCTTGCTACTGTCAGTCTACTGGAGAATTTTCGTACATAAGCATCGAAGGCATTGTTTTTTCTTTATAACACAGAATATACGCAATATTGAATGCACTTGTATCGTGTTCGGATGTCCGACTGTGACTAAAGCGAATTGTGGCTGGTCATGCACCACAATTTAAGTGGTTATTTTTTGAGCCACGAGTGCCGTATTTTCCCTTTTTGTTTAATCTAAGTTTCAAATGCGTTTAATATTCGACCTAGTGTTAAACCTTTTTATGGTTCGTTTTCTTTTTGTCTGAGAGGAAGTTGAATAGAGTAAAGATCTATTTAATTAATGGAATTACCCACTATATGAAAAGTTAATTTAATGTGCTAAGACATATATTCTGTCTTATCTTTAGAACTGCAGCTGGCTCCAGACGTGGCTGGCGCAACGTTCATGGCGGCCGGCAGCTCCGCCCCCGAGCTGGCCACCGTCATCATTGGCGTCTTCTGTGCACAGGATGATATCGGTAATATCCTTATCTCCAGTATGATGGTATCGGTAAGGGATTTGTGTTCAGAGCAGTAACTTTGTTGTCGTCAGCATCGTCTTCGGCAGACAGGATGATATCGGTAAGACCTTTGTGTCTAATAACATAACGTAGATAGAGTCTTGAGTCCAGCAGGATAACATTGGTAAGATTGTTGTATCCAGTAGGATATAATCGGTCAGATCCTTGTGTTAAGAGCTGCAGCTTTCTCTGACATCGTCGGCGTCTTCGGCATACAGGATGATATTGGATCTTAATAACCAATACAATATCGGTAACCTTATGGACAGTTTCCCATTTCATTGCTTCCAAACGTCCTGATTCTACCCATTGAGCTACTGAGCCGTCCTGGATGTGTTCCGAGGGAAAGCGCGTATCGCTCTGTACATTCTCAATGTCTAAAAAGCGCCCAATAATTTTGTACACTTGCATTTAACGCATGTATAAACGGAGTTTCATCTGCTTTTTTATTTAAAGATCCGAACAAAAGACTCCACCCCACTTGATGTTAAGTGACGGTTGAGTCCAGACGCGATAATAGCTGTATCAGCAGGTTTACTGCTACACAAGCTATCCTCACTTGCTGGCTTTCAAGGTGCTTCAATCTGCATGCAACATCGTGTAAACTTCTGTGGGAAGAAGCGGCAGTATTGTGTACAGCAGTGCTTTCATGATGATAAATTTTATGTGCAGGTGTGTCTGGTGTTATCGGGTCGGCGGTGTTCAACATAATGTTCGTGATCAGCGTGTGCGCGCTGTGCGCTGGCACTGTGTCGCACCTCAACTGGTGGCCTCTGTGCCGCGACTGCTTCTTCTACGCAGTCTCTATACTGATCATGCTCTGCACCATCTCCAATGGATTTGTGTCATGGTAATGCTTACTTTATAAATAAAACTTGTGACAGTTAGAACTATATATAACAATAGTTTTATATATAATAATATTTTTAAAAAATATTTTTCCTGGGTTATGTCAGGCCAGAAGCACTGTTCATGCTGATAATGTACGGTGTTTACTGCGTGGCGCTGCGGTTTAATAACACACTGGAGCGGTGGGCAATGAAGCTGCGACTGCCCTTCAAGCTGCCCACCAGGGAGGAGCAGGCCGCGCTCGTCACCTACAAGTCAGTCCCTGCTCATTGCTACCTATATAGCGGCTGTAATTTACTGATATAGTGTACTGCTGTAAATGCGATCCAACAACGCGCTGACGCTGTGGCTGCCCTTCAAGCTGCCCACCAGGCTGGAGCAGACCACGCTCGTCACCTACAAGTCAGTCCCTGCTCATTGCTACCTATATAGCGGCTGTAATTTACTAGTAAAGTGTACTGCTGTCGATGCGGTCCAACAATGCGCTGACGCTGTGGCTGCCCTTCAAGCTGCCCACCAAGGAGGAGCAGGCCGCGCTCGTCACCTACAAGTCAGTCCCTGCTCATTGCTACCATAGGAGGTGTAATGTACTGCTGTTGATGCGGTCCTACAATGCGCTGACGCTGTCGCTGCCCTTCAAGCTGCCCACCAAGGAGGAGCAGGCCGCGCTCGTCACCTACAAGTCAGTCCCTGCTCATTGCTACCATAGCAGGTGTAATGTACTGCTGTCGATGTGGTCCAACAACGCGCTGACGCTGTCGCTACCCTTCAAGCTGCTCACCAAGGAGCAGCAGGCCGCGCTCGTCACCTACAAGTCAGTCCCCACTCAAAGTTAACTATAAAGCGGGTGTAGTGTACTGCTGTCGATGCGGTTTAACAATGCACTGACGCTACGGTTGCCCTTCAAGATGCTCACCAGGGAGGAGCAGGCCGCGCTCGTCACCTACAAGTCGGTCCCCTTGCATAGCTCACTATACAGCGGGTGTAGTGTAATGCTGTAAATGCGATCCAACAACGCGCTGACGCTGTGGCTGCCCTTCAAGCTACCCACCAGGCTGGAGCAGACCACGCTCGTCACCTACAAGTCAGTCCCTGCTCATTGCTACCTATATGGCGGGTGTAATTTACTGGTAAAGTGAACTTCTGTAAATGCGGTCCAACAACGCGCTGACGCTACAGCTGCCCTTCAAGCTGCCCACCAAGGAAAAGCAGGCCGCGCTCAGCACCTACAAGTCAGTCCCTGCTCATTGCTACCATAGCAGGGGTAAAGTACTGCTGTCGATGCGGTCCAACAACGCGCTGACGCTGTGGCTGCCCTTCAAGTTGCCCACCAAGGAGGAGCAGGCCGCGCTCGTCACCTACAAGTCAGTCCATGCTCATTGCTACCATAGCAGGTGTAATGTACTGCTGTCGATGTGGTCCAACAACGCGCTGACGCTGTCGCTGCCCTTCAAGCTGCTCACCATGGAGCAGCAGGCCGCGCTCGTCCCCACGCAAAGTTAACTCTCTAGTGGGTGTAGTGTACTGCTGTCGATGCGGTTTTACAATGCGCTGACACTACGGCTGTCCTTAATGTGAAAACTGAATAATTTAACGTATTTATTTTGGCGGCAGAAATTATATTAATTTATTTTTACTTTAAAGTCATATTCCTGTAGTAACGTCCCTTTTTAATCATTTGACGATAACACAATCATATTCAAAAATTATCTTTGTTAACCGTACTTACACGTTGAAGCTTATACAGTTATTCACGCTGGTCAACGCTTGGTAATGTGGCATGTACTATTTAGTTGGTACAAGAACTTTATTTGTTTAAGGAGTGCCGGAGGTGCCCCCCCTGCCACTGCGCCCGGAGTGGAGGGCCAGTACACTCAAATGGAAGGCCAGACTAAGGAGACACCGATGCAAAATGCTCGTGAGATCACTTGCAGAATATTTTTGTCACTATCGTCTCAATGCTGGGGGTAGTATTCACTGTGAACGGGATCATAATAGAAGTGAAAAGGTTTTGTCTGTCCGCTGGATGGTTAGCGTCCAGATCAAGAGAGAAAGAGCTACCCATACAACAATATCAACTTAACTTTGAAAATATAGATTCGTTTGTGGAAATATTAGCACTACCAAACTCAGATGCAGCAAATTCGATGTTTGATATGGTTTTCGCTAGTAAGAATAGCTCGCCCTCTCCAATGTTTTAAATTAAATTAGTTATGTATGTTTTGGTTAGGGTACGATGAGGCTGGCATATTCATAGAATGAAGGCCTCTAAATAAAAATGAAAAAAAAATCCCTTTGTTTATATGGTAAGAAAAGAATAACTCCAAAGTCCGTGTAAAACTTTATAATAATTAAACCTCACAAATATAAAATATAATATAAATACGAAAATGGTTATATGGAGCACGCGTAGCGTTGATGGTAGCTAATTACGTACTAAAATTAATGCCATATTTTATGTATAAAGTGCAACTTGCTGGATTACAAATTGCTGCGCTGTTCGGTGCTACGCAAACGAAGAAGAAAGGGACATAAGCAACCTATGCGCTAAGCAATTGTGGATTGATGGAAGCTAACGACTACAGATACATTCCAAAGTATATTACATATTACACAATTAATTAGTTCAATAAGAGCGATCGGCCACTTACATAATAATATCCAGCTGTAAAGATGCTTAAGTTCCTTAATCTCAGGAGGAGCTCGATGGCGCAAGTGGTTAGCAAATATTCGTAATAGCTGATTATAGGATACTCAAAAAAACGGTAATCAAAAAAATATTATACGAAGCTCCCCCTGCTTCGGAAGACACGCTATGACATGGTCCTGGCTACATCTACAGTCGTTAGCCCGCCAATATTTTATTGTCCGAACCCCGCAAACAGTGGTAAGCTAATTACGACCATCCAAAGGGAAGGCCTATGCCCCAGCACTATGGGCATTAATAGGCTGATCATGAAGTAATAACTTTAAGTAGGTTCATACAGCAGGTGCAGGCATCTGTAATGAAACTTGCTCATCTTTCACAATCGCCAGATTACCATAGCTACATAAAAAATAGAATAGCAAATAATGTGTTGTGTAATCTCCCAGCGTACAATCCTGACGGGGCGTACGACAATGCGGCTTACAACGCAGAGCAAGCAACAGTACCGGTGTGGGACCCGGCCCACGCGTGGGACCCTGATGCCGCCTGGTCCGATAATCCGGTACGACAACACACCGCACTGAATATATTTTTACTGCTTTATACCTTAATACTTCAGTTTTTATTTTAAGAAAGCTTTTACTTGCAAGTCTCGTTCTCGTTTTGGGTTATACTAGGCTAGGTCAACAAATTAAATCCAGTGAACTAGGTGTCAAAACTGGATGGTTACCGAGTTGCGACGGTTCATCGATGTTTTAGAAATTTTCTGAGTTGCTGCCAAAAACCATTGATTGTGAATAAACTACTCTACTCTTGTCATTGATTTGATACTCTTCTGAATGCCGAAAAATCTGTGATCATTAACCGCTTACCCAAAACTTACATAATCTCACAAATAAAAGGACTTTAGTAACAATAATTTTTATCTACTATATAAAAATAAGTCGGGTTTTCCTTCCTGACGCTATAACTCCAGAACGCACGAACCGATTTCCACGGTTTTGCTTTCGTTGGAAAGGTCTCGGGCTCCGTGAGGTTTATAGCAAAGAAAATTCAGGAAAAATTAAAAAAAAAAATCTTTTAATCACCAAACGAAATGTTACATAAAACGAAGCCATCTGGTGGCGAAACGGAGTTTGCCGGGTTTGCTAGTTTTTTATATTTTTCCCGAACTTTGCCGTAAATAATCGGTAAACAACTATATGGAATTTATCGTACAAATTAGTAAAATCACTAACCAGTTTCATAAGCTTTCGAAAAAGGTACAAAAGTTATTAACATTTTCAGCTGTTTTTATTAAAATCAGCAAAAGGCGCTGTGTGGCAAACTTTCATTTTAAATTGTGAATTCCCCCGTGTTCGACAACACACCACACTCCACACTACTACCTCGTACGACATCACATCACATTCTACACAACCTCGTACGACACCTCACCACACAAGTCATCAGTCTATTACTTTTTTGCATTTGCAGCATTGTTTATCACTTGTGGTAATGTTTATATTTGTCTATTGAAGCAGTCACAACAGCCGCAAGTTGCTCCCGCCACTGCTCCTTCGTGGCAAGACAATCAGGGTTGGGGCGCACAATCGCAAACCTCTACGGAACAGAAGGCGGCGCAGACCCCGACGCAACAGAAACCACAACCACAACAACCCGCACAAGTAACTATGTTTGACAAATATCAATATACCTATACGAGATTTTCTTAACTATTTTTCTTTACTTTACTTTTATAATCTGTACCCCTAGCACGAACCATTATCGAATTCGAATAGTTTGCAAACCGAAATGTCAATGTCAAATTTTGTATGGAAACTTGAACAGCAGCGGCACAAAGTACGTAACGAGAACTAAAAATACACATTTGACAATGACATTTCGGACTCGCAAACGTTACGAATTCGATATTGGTTCGTACTAAGGGTACAGTACTGTAACGTCCGTTACGTTACAGCCTCCTTGTTTGGGTAAACTCTTTGTTCATGTTATGCCTACGGCTAGCAGTCATATTAAAAAGGTAATGTCATGATTTTAAGATTTGAAATTAGGAATCCTCTGTCGTTTGATAGAAGATTCCAAGAGATAGACTTCAGGCACTAAACCATGCGTTAATAGATTAAGCTATAATAATAAAATTTTAGGTACAGGTCTACGGCCCACCTAGCATTTTAAGTTTTGACTGTCCCTATCCTAAAATAAATGTAACATTGAGCAAAAAGTTTTTACGCAGTTTTGAAGCTGATTTACACACCATCTCATTTTCGTGTGTTTATAAAAATAAATTAATATTATAATTTTTATGTTTTAAGCATGTTACTGCTCAAAGTTTAAATCTAAAGAAAATGTTACTATAAAAAAATCAACAAGTTCGCAACGGGCCGTGGTAGCATTCGCCCGGATAGCGAAGGGTTCGAGACCCGTCTGCTGCCTGGTTCGCGTGGATTTTTTTCTAGTAAATTTTTCTTTATATTATTATTGCTCAACTAACATATTTTTTGCTACAGACCCTTAAATCTTATTATAAGACCAAAGGTGCAATTACACTTGGTCCTTAACCCGTATTTGGGTGTACGAAAGTCTCGATTTCGGGAACCCAATGGCAATAATTGCTTACATTGTTTTACTAACGTTCAGGTACTGTAGCAAAGGGCAAACAACCCTGCACCCGTGTCGTAGTTTGAACGTACCTTAATGATGCCAGATTGGAGGTAACCAAAACGAATATGAGCGTACTCAACTCCGTTAGTTGTATATTAACGGAAGTGTATTATAGTGTGATTGGCAAAAAAATCCAATGGTTTTGGCTAGAGTGATATGAGACACCAGATTAGGGAGAGATTTCACGCGTCTGAGCTTCTCGCAAGAAAGGACCGGAAGGTCTACCTAAAGAAAGTGGGTGGTAAAATGATTCGGAAATGGTTTCTCAGGTGCCATTTCCAGCTGAGGGTGCGCCGTGGGGTTATTAGTGGGATGGCATCTAAAGACTCGTCAAATGGAGCTCCGTTAGATACAGGTATCCACGGCAGAGTCCTACATAACTTCGCCGCTCGCCGGCCGCGGGATGTGTGCCCACGGTATAAAAAAAATGTGATATTTGACGACATCCGTGGTCGATGGTCTTCAATGGTATTTAAAGTTCAGTTACCACTTATTGGAATCTGGTGAAAATTCCCGGCAAACACAATGTAAAAAACTAACTTATCTATAGCACCACTAGATGGCGTATTTGGGCCATGTGATTTTTTAATGGAATTGATGGCGCTTATGTATTCATTCTTCAATTCAGAAAAAACATATTTGCCGGATGACATTTAACATATTTATGATGTTACAGCCAGCCGCGCCTGCTTACTACAAGGCCAAAGAGTATAATCCGGAGACTGCCGTGAACCCTCTCGTAAAACCTGAAGGAGCCAGTGAGTAGAATAAAAAATATTGAGCATCATTTAATAGTAGACCAACTTCATGCTGTTAAATTTTTGTGTTACAGTGATGCGCGCGCATCTTAAAATTTCACTCTCATCATTTTTTCATAACGCGCCTAAAGAAGTATAACTTCAAAAAACGACGGGTAGCACTGTACAGCACCGGGAGTGCCGGCAGAAGTGAAAACTTGAATATTAACGTTGTGCATTTTGGATATTTTGGAATGGTTAGGGAATAATTTTGCACGAATTTCTTTAATTATCAGTATAAAAGTACTATCATTTATGTGGTAGAATACAATATTTATTTATTGCGCTTTCGTATACAAATATGACAATTTATATTACATTAAAAAGTTTATTAGTTAGAATTTCTCATTTAAGCGCACCTAGCGACATTTATTGTAAAAAAAATGCATTTTCTTCGCAATAAAGCTGCCACCTGGACGTCCTAGATACAGACTTATTATTATATTACGATAAAATAAAATATTACTATGATTCGTCCAATATATTGAAAGTCAACAACCTTTCCAATTTCATTGTTTTCGTCTTACGATTAGGACACTAGGCCTGTGATGCGATCAGCCCACGTGTCATGAAGCGAGTTTAACATTTTTTACCCATACAAAAAAATGTGTACAACGCCCCTAAAGAAGTTTTCACTTCAAAAATCATAAGTTTAGTGTGATCCAAACTTAGTTATGAAATTAATGCATCTCGTGGCGTAGCGCAGTTAACGAAATATAGGTGCATTCTACGCTCGCTGATTACTTCACAACCACTATAAAAAATTGCACTACACGAATCTCTTTTCTTATTTCATACACGAATCAATAGCATTTCAATAGCTCATAAGAAGAATTTTCCTTCCACTCACTCAGCACTCAAGCTTCTTAACAGCCTCTCCCTTAGACCCTGGCCGTATCAAATAGCGACCTCGGTCGTAACCGCAATATTAAAAACAAAAGCATCTTTCGGAGAAAAACAAAAATCTATTCTTTTTTCTATTTACAGTATTTAAAGAACTTTCCATCCATGTGGCACAGTTTTAGGACTTATTGTATAAGAGCCTGCGCTGCGTTAACCGGGAGCATGGATCGGGCGTCCGCTCGGTGTGCAATTTTTATGTCATTTCATAGAACAGTGTAGGGCTCCCGCTCAAAGCAGCGCAGGCTCTAAATGATTTCTAGTTATTTGATTTTGGTCACCTTTCAATGAGGGCTATCGTTTTTTGTCGCACCAGATGGCGCCACTGTTGAGTGAGGTCCTGAAGTGTAACTTTTAAAGTTAGTAAACACGCTCGTGATATCAAAGTTTACATTTTAATACAAACGAATCGTATCTTAAACATAATCGCCCATGCCACAGTGTTGCGCAGTCCCGTTTTGTTCGGAAAAAAGAAGGACAATATTTTTTCTTAGCTCCGCTTTTAAATAACTGACAATCATTGACACGTAACTCATATTTGCCATAATAAGTCTGATTTATTACCAAATATTCACAACTATTATTTTAATTAGAAAAAAACCGCGTAGTCAACCCGCAAGCTATAACATTTGACATTTCGGAGACCTCACGCAACACAAGCGCCTCTAGCGGCGGTTTCAGACGCGATAGCCCTCATTATGACGACGAAATATAATGTGTTGTTTCGCCTCCAGACACGCTGCAGCTGGCGTGGTGGTACGTGTCGTTCCCCATTCACTGGTCATGCCGCCACACGATGCCCGACTGCCGCGGCCGCTGGTACCCCGTCACCTTCATTGTGTCAATGCTGTGGATCTCCTTCTACTCCTACTTCATGGTGTGGATGATCACCATCATAGGTATGTCGTCATTTTATTTACTTAGAAAAAAGATACTGAACAGGAGGCCTACTCTATTTCAACGAAAAGCAAAATTTCGATCGATATTTCGCACGTTCTTTACTCTGTTTCTATTATTTTAATTTGGAAAACTCGTTCGTCCGAAAATAGTTTGACAATTAAATTCTCTAAGCCTACTCTAATTCACAAAACTTTTGAACTAAAAGTTGAATTTGACAGATAATTGTTCGAAATTTTAACCTCAAATTGACGAAATGAAAACTATTACCTTTTCATTTTCGTTTTCTGGATTTTTGTTTAAATTAAACCTAAAATTACTACTAGAGTATTTTTAATTAAGGCTGCTTAACGTGAGAAACATTATTAGTACGAAAAATTTACAAATAAATCAAATTTTTGTTTACTATTAAATTGCTAATATTATTATGTACTTCAAAGTGTTACACGACTAATTTAGGTTGACATACATTCGATTGCATCAACTCTACAAATTAGTCGGCTAACACTGTCAAAAGAGGTTGTTTTAATGTAATCAAAAATGTTGTCATAAAGTAATATTATTTTGAAGTAAAAAACGTTATCTAAAAAGTGTAGACAAAAAGAACTCACAAACATAACTCAACCCATTCGTTCACGATATTTGTCTGTGATTCCGAACTTTATGTGCGTGTTCGAAGATGAAATAGAGTAGAGTCACTGGCGAAATTTCGTTTAAAATTCATAATTTCGTTTCGGAGTAAGAGAGTAGAGATTCAGTAGAGAACCTCCTCCGTTTTTGGGAGGCTGTTGAAACTGAGTATGTAAAGTCACGTTCACTTTATTAGCTGATTTATATATGGTACAAAAAAAATAAGGCAAAACCCTAACCTAACCCTTTCACTCAATATTAGTCATTTTGCGTCTTGTTTTAAAACCTTCACTAAGCTCACGATACATACCTACGTTTAACCTGAACTCCTTTGTTTACTCAGATTCCAAATACAAGTAGTTGCACCAAAAAGCAACTTGCAAAGTTTTCTTAGCAAGTTATTAATAACAACCTATTTTCGTTTGATGCAGGCTACACGCTGGGCATCCCTGACACGGTGATGGGGCTGACATTCGTAGCAGCCGGTGTGTCTGTACCAGACGCTCTGTCCTCACTCGCCGTCATCAAGGAGGGGTGAGTTCAGAGACGAATTCGAGGAAGGGAGTGTGGAGGAGTACTCACAGCGAATTTTCTCCATGAGAGATGAATAATTATCCAAATATCGACGTTGCAGCAACTCTTGTACAAACATATTTATATTTAATATTATTAATATTTTTTATTGGGGATTTCCTTTCTTTAATTACCCTAGGGCCTCCATACCTCAAAATCCGGCCTGGTTAAACTAGTAATGCCCTGGAGCACATGCGCCTATTTAGGATTGCTCGTCGCCTAAGCCTAAAGCAATCATGTGCAATTGTGGACAAACGCACTCAAATCTTTTATAAAAAAAAAGTCCGTTGCAACTTTACTCACATTTAATGATGACGCTAGGTACGGAGACATGGCGGTGTCCAACGCGGTGGGCTCCAACGTATTCGACATCCTGGTGTGCCTGGGGCTGCCTTGGTTCATACAGACCGCCATCATCCACCCCGGCAGCCACGTCAACGTCATCAGCAAAGGTAACCAAAGACACTGGGTACAATACCCTTAAAACGAACCTATATCTCATTAGAATAGTTGATTGTATCCATCTCGATACGTCAAATGTCAAGAAGTGTGTTATGGAAGATTTATAATTCTCGTTACCAACCACGAACCAATATCGTTTTCGAATTCGATAATGGTTCGTGCTGAGGGTACAGGGCGATTCCAACAAACTTTGCGACCACAGAAAACAGAAAGAGGTTGAGTGGTGGCGACTGTGAAGTTTGTGCAAGTGGCGATGTAATCACTAATAATAAGAATAAAATATATACCTAAATCATAATGCTGCGAATACTCAAAAATAAGTAAAACATACACCACAATACAGCACTAATAAGCATGCGTAGGTAATTTAAGAAAATGTGCCACCCAAATGTTTCTAAACCTATGGTGTCACTGAAATAATACAAGACAAATTTCCGCTCCTCGAGTGGTCTGATAGAGATATTACTAAAAGCAAAGGTATTTCAAAATTAACACTTAACGAGTTTGCCGGAAAACGTAATTTTACTCTATACGTGGCCCCACGTTGATAACGTTGAAATATCTATATATAGTTTTAACAGAAGTCATCCTTTAAAAAGGGAAGTTTGTATAGGAAACCAATGACGTGACGCAGACGAAGTCCCCGCCACTCGCTATTTTATTAGGGTATTTGACAAGTTTTAGAAAACGATCACATGTTATTGACTAATGTTCATCATTCTGTTGTGTATTTCTGTAAAAATAACCAAATCAATAACCCCATTTGCAAGTTGCCGCGAAAACGTTTTTCTGGACAATATGGCGTCTTACTAGTATGTGACGTCATACAACTGTTATTAAAACGTCAAACAATACAATGTAATGTCACTTTAACCGGAAGTTTACTTGCGTGTGATGTCATTTTAGGCCCCGCCAATCCCAAGCGTTTTGGGTCACGTGACAATAGATAAGAAAACTATTATCTTTTTTCGTGAGTTTTTAGTATAATTACGAATATTTTTTTTGTTAAAATAGTAAAAACCCCTGCCAATATTCATTCTAAACACAGATACTTACAACTTGGCACTTTATTTTTAATACTGTCAAATACCCTATAACTAAACACCAAACGTTATTACAGGCCTATGGTACTCCACCCTATCGTTGTTCTCAACGGTCGTATTCCTGGTGGTGGCGACGCACGCCAACGGCTGGAAGCTCGACCGCAAGTACGGCGCCGTGCTGATGGTATGGTACGTGCTCTTCATCACCTTCGCCAGCCTCTACGAGCTCAACGTGTTCGGCTACTTCCACAACCCGGACTGCGTGTCCAAATATTAAACGATAACTTTATTATTAGATAGGTTTTTATATCGTTGTAGGTTCTATATGAGATACATATAGAATATGATATAAGAACCTTAATTAACATATTGTACAAGACGTACGTAAAACCTTAAAAGAGATGTTACCTGAACCGTAAGCACATGAGTATATAAGGCACAGTGAGGCAAAGCTTCATGCAGTACGCATGTAAGGTGTGTCAGCACTAGCGGCCTATCGCCGCCAATTGATACAGTGCGACCAAGATCTTATGGAACTTAGATGGCATTGACAGGAGGGCGCTGCTGGTAAACAAGTGGTGAAAGGAAGATTAAATAGTACGTAAAATCTCCTCACTAAAGGTAACATTATAATTGAGGAGCTGGCAAACAAAACGGTATTATGGTATGGTAAAACTAATTTCTTTTTACAGTCCGGAGGTTTTGGCCAGCTAAATTTGAATTTCAAATCATTTTTAATCAAAACCGCCTAAAACAGTGTTAAAATTACTAAACTTATAAAAAAACCATGCCAAAAGCTCACTGTAGGTATGCCACACATTTTTTTACAGCCCCTGTAAAATTTTATTTTATGTAATTATACCGTTTTGTTCGCCAACTACTCGGAAAGAGTAATAGCATATATAAAAGGTTTATTTACACCTTGCCTTCCAAATAAAAGGCTTATACGAACCTTCTTAAATTAGCTACTATTTCGGCCACGCGCTGCAAGATTTCGGTCGCACTGTAGAAACGTTTCTCTGCGTACGCTACAGCCGCGAGTACGCCTTGCACACGCTCAATGTATAAAGCTTTGTGTACCTTTTTTACTCGAGTGCCAAGTGCCATAAGATCGCCACGAAACTCGTGCGCCTATTAATGCCTCTGTTCTTAACAACTATACACAGAAAAGTCAAATTAATTAATTAAGTCACGTGTTGTCTCATTGTATTGCTAAAGTGACAGTAACAACTTAAAGGTTAATTGACTTCTCTGTGTGCATCTGTAAGTATAGCAGCGACAAGGGAAATGGGGTTATGGTAGCTTTACATCATAAAACATCGCCATTCCTTCCCCTTCCCTCTCTTCATGGCACAACACTTCATGGCACAACACTTCATGGCACAGAGCGATATTACCATGCTCGGTATGGAAATTCGCTCAGACCTGAATCCAAAGGACTACATCGAAACCTTTATCAAAACAGCTTCACGCGAACTCGGAGTCCTGAACAAGGTGCGGCGACTGTGCTTGTTGTACAAAACGCAAGTGCGGTCCTGCGTGGAATATTGCTCGCACCTCTGGGATGGCTCCGCTAAGTACTTACTCGATGCCTTGGATAGGTTGCAGCGGCGCGCTGCCCGCATCATTGGCGATGAAGAGGTAACTAAGAAACTCGAGTCTCTACAATTATGCCTTGATGTGGCATCATTAAGCGCATTCTACAGATTATACCACGGCGAGTGTTCTGAAGAGCTATTCTCGCTTATCCCTCCATCACCTTTTCTTCAAAGGACCACGCGCGCTGTACCTACGTTGCCACCGACTTACTGTGGCCACTATTCCTACACGAACAAAAAAATTTGGTGACTCATTTCTTTGTCGTACTATTCGTAAGTGGAATTCTTTACCCGCGCACGTGTTCCCTCCTTCCTATAATCTGGGGTCCTTTAAGAGAGGCGTGAAGAAGCATTTTTGCAGGCCGGCAAGGTGAGGATGGTTGGTGTAGTAGTTTATAACTGCTGTACCAGCTATATTCGCGTTTGGACTTTATCACCACTTAACATCAGGTGGGGTAGAGTCATTTGCCTACCTCGCTATAAAAAAAAACATACACGTAGTGATATACCTACCTGCGCAAGTACCTATACGTTAACGCCTGCTGGAAGATTTTTTTGCGAGGAATGTCTGTCGGCACTGCGTGGATATACCTATATCGCTACCGTCTATAGCTACCATTGGGCTATATTGGCTGTGAAACCCCATCGAGACATAAACTCAATTTATTTATGAGTTCGACAACGCAAACGCAATACGTTATTCATTAGTTGTGCAGGCCGGCTAGGTGAGGATGGCTGGTGTGGCAGGTAGAACTGCTGTAACAGCTATCTTAATATTATTAATATTATCTTCACTGTCACTTAACATCAGGTAGGGTGAAGTCATTTGTCAGACCTATCTATAAAAAAAAATCGAGCTAGATGTTTATTGGACCTAAAGAAAGATTTATATTTAATCGACCTCAAAAGCTTACTTTAAAGTTTAAAAATAACTAATTAGCTTGGACACTGCATGTCGAAAGCCTGTTATCAAAATTAAATATCAGATACTCAACCTCATAATATGCTTAAATCATATAGGTAATTGTGTTAATTGCATAATTTTAAAATTGAAAGTAAGCTTTATCGGTCAAACCACGGACAGGAAGTTCAAACTATGTATTAAAATCAGTGCCGTCTTTGACCTATTGGAGGCCCTGAGCATATTAGGATAATGGGGCCCCTATGACTTCTGTTTGGTGATTTAACAGGAACTAGGGACTTTGTATTTAATCTGAGGGGGATCCCCCTATCGATCGCGGGGCCCTGGGCACTTGCCCAAAGTGCCCACTGGGAAAGACGGGTCTGATTAAAACTTGTCACTTGTCGGTGGCCCCAAATGTAAGATCTCCCGAACTCGAGTAATAATATCTATACAACCTCAAAGATATATGATTTGTCTCAAAAGCAAAAGGGCCAACATTTGTGGTTTAACGGCCAAAAACATTACATAGTAAACTCATATGTGTCGTGTGTCGTAATTTAAAAACGGACATTCTTTTACTCCGAATCATGGCTACCGAGGAGGTAATTAACAAAGGTTTTAGCAAAATTTGAACTGGCTTGCAAATAGGAAGCTGTTTATTGAAAAAAAAACAAATGAACAGAAGAAAAATGGTTCGTTGTTCGTCATCGATTGTGTAAAGTATTTTTTTTTATTTTAACTTCCCGAATTATTTGAGAAGTAAAAGTACTATAGTCTTTGTCACCACTAGGCATGATGAACCTAAGTATGTGTGCCTCGGCTTCCCTTTTGCCCACATTTACAGTTGGTCCATCAATGCCTCTTTTGCTGATCGTTATAGTAATATACTATTTTTCCAGTAAAACAATTCAACATTGTGAACTTAAATTATTGAGTAGGGAAAGTACTTAAGGTTGTGGGGAATGAAAGGAATTCTAAGGGGGTAAGGTAAGGTAACCTTTTGGCTTTGACTTATCTATATAACTTGACAGCATTATTTATATCTTTGTCAAAGACTTTATGGATGGAAAGGGTACTGGTAGGGTACACCTACTGGTGTCAATAAAAAAAACCTAGCCAGGTGAAGTTTCTAACATTAAGAATATAATGTATATAGGTACCTACCTAACTACGCCCTCAGTCTGCGACAATTGATTAACGTTTTAAACATCTCTGCTAACCTTGGCTCTTTCAAGTCCCACTAAACATAAAGCGGGGAGGAGTCGTATACCATCAGGCATTCTATGAACAAGCACACGCTTCAGTGAATCAACGAAATCAATCAACAAATATTATTCTTAGTTACGGTTTTGTGTTAGGTTGTGTTATAAGGGGAATCATTGCATGAGCACAGCTAGAATATATAATTGATGGGATATTATTTACTGATATATTCTTTGAGAATTTCCAATAATAGAACTGCTGCAATTTGTTTCATACCTAGTTACCATGATTGTGAACTAGCTTCTGGGTTACAACAAGGTTATTTCAAGATGGTTGGTCTTCAGCTATGCCCTTTTCATATTTTTTTTAAGACATATTTTGATTAGAAAATCATAGGTATTTCTATTTAAACCGGATTTTGAAATTGTTATTATGTGTAATACTTAAATATACTTATAAACAGCTAATGCACCTAGTTATTTATAACAAAATCTGTATGCGATACAAAAATCGTCTAAAATAATCAAAACAAATTAGGGCCCACCCATAAATAATCCCGTATATTGTCTAAAAAAAAATATTATTATCATTGAGGTACATAGTTTTATACCTCAATGATTATTATTGGCGAGTTGAAGCATTTTAACTTACTGGCGACATGTTTACGAATCTTAATCAATGTTTCCTGCGACAAGTTAAATGTTATTCTTAAGTGAGTAAACAAAAGAATGAAGTGCCCTAATAATCATCCAATTTTAAAATTCCCAATCACTTGTGTTCTCAGTCTCAGTCTGACTGTTCCTGTTGCACCATCTTGTTTTATTCATTTTATTTTGTTTTCTACGTTATTTGCGATCATTATGCCTGGTTCTCGCCGTCATATGGATATGGAAACAGCATCAAGAGCGGTGGCTATGCTTCAGGAAGGGCATTCACAGAGATCAGTGGCAATACGAGTTGGTGTGTCACGACGCGCTATCCGTAACCTGGGGGAACGCCACCAAGAGACTGGTAGTGTTGCTAGGAGAGCGGGAACAGGAAGAACTCGAGCTACCAACGACCAGAACCAGAACCGTTATATCCGATTGACTGCACGTCGAGAGCGTACAATAACAGCTCGGACCTTACACAATCGTTTAAGCCAATCTATCGGCACGCGAGTAAGTGATCAAACCATTCGAAATAGTCTTCATGAGGATAGCCAACGATCCAGAAAGCGAGTAATCCGGCTGAAGTTGACAAGATCGTATCGTGTAGAATGGTTAATATTTGCTCGCGAACATTTAAATTGGACCATGGACAACTGGACGACCGTACTGTTAACAGACGAATATAAATTGAAGTTTTTTAGTGCCGATCGTCGAGTCTGCATGTGGAGAAAAGAAGGCGAACGTTTTTCAGAGGCCTGCATTCATGGAACAGATCGTTTCGGGGGTCCAAGTGTAATGGTGTGGGGTGGAATTATTTTAATGGGTAAAACTGAACTGGTATTTTTGGAAGAAGGCACCGTAACTGCTGCCCGTTACATCGAATGTGTAATCCAACCTCATGTCTTCCCATTTACGCAAAGAATCGATGAAAACTTCGTCTTCATGCAAGATAATGTCCGCACGCATACGGCTCGTATCACTCAGAGAGCACTTTCAGAAGCCAATATTACGGTACTACCGTGGCCAGCCACGATTCCCGACCTCAATCCTATCGGACATTTATGGGTTCATTTAAAAAAAAAGCCTTAAGTCTCAGTCACAGTTTCAGTCATGTGAATCGCCGACAAGACCTCATAAACGCCCTTAAAGTCTGTTGGGAGCAAATACCGACTGAAAACGTTATGCATTTAATCGAAAGCATTCCAGAGAGACTAACAGAGTGCATACGGACTAGAGGAGGTCGTACTCGCTACTAAACGAGACAATTTGCATAAATTTTATGTGAAAATATTGATAATATTCAAACTTCACTTTCTTAGTTAATTTGTTTTAATTTTCTTAAAAACTGTTATTACTGTGTAATTCACAGAAAACTTTTAATTTTCACAGTTGTTTGTGTTTACACAATTTCTAAACGCCAATTGTTACACACCCCAATTGAAAAAAATA